AGATATGAGGATTGCGGTTCAAAAGCCAGCCCAGGCAGGAAAGTCTGTGAGACTCTTATCTCCAATAAACCACCAGAAAACCAGGAGTGGTGCTGTGGCTCAAGTGGTAGAGTGGTAGCCTTGAGCTGAAGAGCTGAGGGACAGAGCCCAGGCCCAGAGTTCAAGCCCCATGACTGACCAAAAAAAAAAAAAAAAAAAAAGCCCAAAAACCTGCACATTTTCTAGAAGCATCATAATGGAAACCCAACTGAGGATCATGTTCACCACAGCACAACTTAAAAAAACATTCCAGTACATATTTTCTAAAATGGCAAAATGAATGAAAATGCCATATCATCATGGTTTGTTTGAAGTCGAATGTTAAGTTCTCTTATTACTCAGAAATATGATAGTTCACATTAAGCCAAAACTCTGTGGGGTGTGGAAGGAGCTGCCGAAATCCTCAGTGAGAACGCAGGGCCAGCCCTCACTTGGGAGTTAGGCAAGTACAATGCTGCTTTCGGTCTGCACTGTCCTGGCATTGAGTCACGCTCAGGACAGGCTTCTTCAGAGGCCATACTATCTCTGACTTCTCACAGCCATAGGTCTGAGTCCTACAACCCCTTCAGAGATGGATTGGAAAAAAAAAAATCTGGGTGTTGGTGGTTCATGCCTGTAATCTTAGCTACTCAGGAGGCTGAGATCAGAGGTTGCAGTTTGAAGACAGCATAGGCAGGAAAGTCCATGAGATTCTTATGTCCAATTAACCAGCAAAAAGCCAGAAGAAGAGATGTGGCTCAAGTGGTGGAGTACTAGACTTGCATGAAAAACAATTAAAGGACAGTGCCCAGGCCCTGAGTTCAAGCCCCAGTGTTGGCACACACACAACCCAAAAGGAGAAACAGTTTCGAAGTCAATTCCAATTTTATCTCCTTTAACATGAGTGGCTTTCCAAAGAAACTTACTATGGCAGTGCTAGGAGGTGTTTTAACCTTTGAGTTAAATTCTCAGTCTAAATGGCAGTAAGAGCATTGAAAGGAAAAATTCAAAAAGCTTTAAGAAAGGCCTGTTGTTTCCTGGGCAGCCCCCTCTGCACAGTAAGGGACAGAAAAGGTTGAGTCTGTATATTGTATTGCACAGCTACAGAATAGGTATACATGGTTGCCTAGCAATGAATGTGTAAATGTGAGCAAACAAGAGAAAAGAGAAAGGCAAAGCGAGCATTCTCTGGGACTCCCTTAGATGGGTTCTGGCCACTAAGAGCCATCTGCCAGCAGGGACTAAAAATGGCAAAGAGACTCATAAAGAACAAACAGAGAGCCAAGGTCCGTCCCAAGGGATGACTCATGTTGGAAAAGGTAATCTAAAAGTGAATACCTTTTTAAAAATTTTAAGTGCAAATCATTTAAATAGGGATACAGGTGGATCATTGCAACAATGAGATGTACAAGTCTTTATGTGGAAAAAGGAACTTTACAGCTTTGGTGGGGGGGGGGGGAGGATTGGGTTGGGGGGACGGAGGGAGGATGGGAAAGGATGAGAAGGGGAAACAAAGGAGGAGGCTACAATGCTTAATAAGAAATGTACTCATTATCTTGCCCATGTAATTGTAACCCCTCTGTACTGTATTTTCACAATAAAAAAAAAAGAATAGAAAAAAAAAAAGAAAAAATTTTAAGTGCAGTATTTAGCATTCCAGATCAAAAGCTGTCTCTGATTTCTCTGGTCTTCTTATTATTAATAATTTTTTATTGAGATTGCCCTAGGTGATTGCGTAAATTTCACAAATTTCACAAATTGTAGGATAATAATACTTAAAGTCACAAACCCATTTTAACCTTCACGAGGCGTATTGTCATTTTCATGGTCTATAAAGCTTATGGACTCTACAAACTTTCACACTACAGCTATTTCTTCTGAAGTCTTCTTCAAAGATCACAAAGTACCATGTGGAGGCACTTGGGACAGAAGAAATGGCTTGGAGTTCCATCTGAAAGTCAAGCTTTCATCAGGGAAGTAAAATGAAGTCATGATTTGGTAATAGAGGCACACAGTATGAAAGGAGGTATTCTACTGTTCCTTATGTATATAATGATCTAATAAAGGAAGCACTTAAATAAAGCAGAGTACCTGTAACAAGTTGCACCTTCACTGGCTGCTCATGGCTCACATCTTAATCCCAGCTATTCAGGAGGCTGAGATCTGAGAACTGAGGTTGAAAGCCAGCCCAGGCAGAAAAATCTGCGTGATTCTTACGTTCAATTCAACAGCAAAAAGCCAGAAGTGGAGGTGTAGCCTAAGTGGCAGCCTAAGCTGCCAGCCTTGAGCAAGAAGGTAAGAGTGTGAGGCCCTGTGTTAAGCCCATCCACCCACACCCACACATTACACTTTCATAGAAAAGGAACACCAATTAGACTGATTATGCTTTTTTTTAAAATCACAAGCCTCAGTAATTCTGCCAATCACACCTACAAGAAATCCCCTAGATAGAAATACTAGAAGGCAAGGCTATGCACGGCCTTAACTCATCTAAAATGTTCTAGTTTTTGGTGCAGTCTGGTACATACAGAAAATGACCCCAACAGGCTTTGTCTTTTAAGTCCAACTCTACAAAGTGAAAACCAGTATGACCATATTGCAGGTCCCCCCCGTTCATCTCTGGCACAAAACAACTCATAGCAATTAATGAGACTGGAAGGAATATGGAGAAAGATATTAAAAGTATAAAGTGTTCTCTAGAATTGGAATACTTCTGCATCTGTGGTCTTATGCGTGACTTGTCTTTCCCTCATAAGTGTGTGAACGGGGGTGGTAAATATTAAGTTTCTAAACACAAGTATGTTTTGGATAAAGAAGAGAATTTGTAGTATGGTGGCTGTACCACTGGCTGCTTCAGAAGCTGAGTAGGAAATTACACCAGTCCAAAGAGAAATATGAAAAGGATTTATCTTTTTCCTTGTATTGAAACCATATGGAATATTTACATGTGGATACTCATTCAAAGCCCCAAAGGACAAAGCACAGTTCTCAAAGACCACACATAATAGAAACCATCTTTTAAGAGAAAGCAACCTGGGCATCTCCTCATCCTTTGGTGTGCTATCACAAAACTTGGCAGACTACCAGCTAAAAGTACACAATCTAAGCAACAGCCAATGAATTTCACTTGTGCCTGGCTTCACAGCAGACCCTTTGCTAAAAGAATTGTTTCACAGGCTGCTGAGAAGCTTGATCACTATGTCCCAGGCTCAAGGAAGTGGACCTGTGGCTCAAAGCGGTAGAGCACTAGTCTTGAGCAAAAGAGCTCAGGGACAGCACCCAAATCCTGATTTCAAGCCCCACAGCCACCAAAATTCAAATTCTGATCTCCCATTCACTGTCTCCTAACACAGGCAGGGAGGGGACCTGGTCTATTAATTATCTTCCACATAAAATGTAAGAGAATGATAATGCTTACCTCTAAAGTGTACTAAGAAGATTAACTAGCATGTGAAAATCACTTAAGACAGTTCTAGTCAGGTGCAGTGCTGTGTACCTTTAGATCTACATACTCGGGAGGCTGGAAGATAGCTTGAGCCCAGAACTGAAGGCTAGCCTGGGCCACATAGAAAGATATGCTGTGGAACAACAACAATGAAAATACTGTGGATGTGGTAAAGTTCAAGAAGGGCCCATACGGAGCAATGAGGACATTAAGGTGGCAACAGATGGTGTTCTTCATCAAGAAGACAAGAGGACATATTCCACTAAAGCTACAAGAAGCTATGAGATTGCTGGTCTGGATGACAGGTTTATAAACCTGGTGTAACAAAGAGTAGATGAAGCCTGAATGAATGAACAGTCCATCTATCCAACCGGAAAAGGCTTATGAGATGACATAAGCTCCTTAAGAGCAGAGATGCGGTCTATGCATCTATCTACATGCCTCCACTGACATTTGGAATCCTGCCTGTATGTAATTAATGCTATACATATTTATATATTACATCTAAATATATATAATATTAAATATAAATATGTAATTATATATTTTTATTTTTAATATATTATGTTTTTTATTGTGAAAATACTGTACAGAGGGGTTACAGTTACATGAGCAAGGTAATGAGTACATTTCTTATCAAACATTGTTGCCTCCTCCTTTGTTTTTCCCCTACTATCCCTTTCCTACTTCCACAACTACATTCCCCCCCCCCCCCCACACCCCGCCTAAATTGTAAAGTTCATTGTTCAACAGTGTCTTGTACATCTCATTGTTACAATGGGTCAACCTGTATCTCTATTTAAACATTTTGTTTTTTCCTTTTCCCTCCCCAAATTATACGGACATCAAATACAGTGAAAACAGGGGTTATACCATGGGAGAGGATATAATTATATATTTATATAATGTGTGTGTGTGTGTGTGTGTGTGTGTGTGTGTGTGCGCGCGCGCGCACGCGCGCCAATACTGGGGCTTGAATTCAGGTCTTAGTGCATCCCTCAGCTTTGTCATTCAAGGCTGGTGCTTTACCACCAGTGCCCGACCATTTTTTTTTAAACTTTTTTTTTTGGGGTGGGGGGGTCAGGTTGTGGGGCCTGAACTCTGGGCTTGGGCGCTATCCCTCAGCTCTTCAGCTCAAGGCAAATTTTCCAAGAATTTAAGGTAAATATCACAATGTTGTTTTCTTTTTTCTTTTTGTCATTCGTGGGGCTTGAACTCTGGGCCTGGGCACTGTCCCTGCACTTTTCAGCTCAAGCCTAGCGCTCTACCGCTTGAGCCACAGCACTACTTCTGGTTTTCTGGTGGTTAATTGGAGATAAGAGTCTCACAGACTTTCTTCCCCAGGCTGGCTTCGAACCATGATCCTCAGATCTCAGCCTCCTGTGTAGCTAGGATTACAGGGGTGAGCCACTGGTGCCCGGCCTATCACAACATTTTAAAGTGTCGTAGTACTCCAAAAGCAAAGCACCAAAGCACAGAACTCATAAACTTGAAAAGTTGGACTGCAGGAAAGGCAGCCACCTAGACTTTGCTTTACCTTGTACCATAAGCATGGGCTCCTTGCCCCCGCCATGGGCCAGCATCTCCCTGCGGTAGCGCTCCCCAGCAGCCCTGCAGTAGAGGAAATGCTATTAGCCACACCTGCTCACCCATACCTACCCTGAATTTTTTAGAGGTGGTGACCCTGATGCCCCAGTCACAAACCCCACCACCAGGCAAGAGGGGAGATTATTTTCTTCCTTCTCAGACTTTTTGGGTGCTGGTACTAGGACATGAAATCTGGTCCTGGGTGCTGTGTCTTACCTTTTTCTCTTAAGACTGGAGCTCTACTGCTTGAGCCATACCCCCACTTCTGGTTTTTTGCTGGTGAATTGGAGATAAAGAGTCACACAGACATTCTTGCCTGGGCTGGCTTCAAGCCATGATCCTCAGATCTCAGCCTCCAAGTAGCTAGGATTACAGGCATGAGCCACCAACACTGGATCCAAATTCTGATTTTTTTTTTTAAATTGATGCCAACATAAATAATACCAGAATCAATAGGTTTGTTATAATAGCATAAGTGCATTTTTGGCTTTCTGTTTTGTTAACCAGTGGCCTCTCTACAGAATAGACTACATTTGATTTATTTGATATGGGAAGAATAAGATGCTATCCAATTCTGTATAATTGTGGAGACTATTTTAAAGAGAGGTTTAGAATTACTTATGTCAGTCTTTATTTTCAGAGAATACAAGAAGACACAAATGTGCTGGGAGCTGGTGGCTCAAACCTGTAATCCTAGCTACTCAGGAGGCGGAGATCTGAGGATTGAGGTTCAAAGCTAGCGTAGGCAGGAAAGTTTGTGAGAATCTTGACTCTCTAATTAAGCACTAAAAAAAGCCAGAAATGGAGCTATAGCTCAAGTGTAGAGAGCTAGCCTAGAGCAAAAATGCTCAGGGACAGTGCCCAGGCCCTGAGTTCAGGCCCCAAAATTGGTGTGTGTACATGCATGCACATGTGTGTACACACACACACACACACACACACACACACAGCATAGAAAGGATAGGTGAGGACAATGAAATAAGAAAAGGAGAGGAGACGCTGGGCGCTGGTGGCTCGCGCCTGTAATCCTAGCTACTCAGGAGGCTGAGATCTGAGGATCGCGGTTCAAAGCCAGCCCGGGCAGGAGAGACCGTGAGACTCCTATCTCCAATAAACCACCAGAAAACCTGAAGTGGCGCTGTAGCTCAAGTGGTAGAGCGCTCGCCTTGAGCTGAAGAGCTGAGGGACAGTGCCCAGGCCCAGAGTTCAAGCCCCATGGCCAACAAAAAAAAAAAAAAAGAAAGAAAAGAAAAGGAGAGGAGAGTACAGGGTAGCTATCGGCAGCCTCTGTATGTGCTGGTGGCCAAAGCAGAGGAGCAAAGAGCTCCTTCATTTCCATCTTCTCAGATCTACTGTTAACAGAGTAAGTGTAGGTGACAGTCCTCTGAGGAACATTGTACCAACACATAAAGACACAGAAATTCTCCACATGAATGGTTCCTGCAAAGAGCTACTTAGTGATGTAGTTTTTATACTTTATGGAAGATGTCATTCTCTTAAATAAAACTGACTACATACCCTGATGAGTTAAATAATAGGTGTGAGGGGAAGGATTGCTTTACCATGGGATGAGTTACACTCCAATCCTGAGTTAAATACATTTTGATACTATTTGCATTCTACTGACTCCAGAGCATTGTTATGTATAGGTAATTTTTATGAACATGGTCTCTAATCAGACAGGGTGTGAGTTCAAGGCCAGCCTGAGCTACAAAGCAAAACTCTGTCTCTAGATAAATAAAAAGGACCCTTTGAGAGAGGCTAGGAATTTCCTAGCCTAATGCTTTGACTAGCTTCCTTTCAAGTCTTAGTTTTATGTCTGGTTCCTACATGTCTAGGTGAGAATTACACATTTAATCAAGATATAAATATTTTGAAACAGATGTCTTTAATAGTATGTGGTTTTCTTCTAAAGTATAATTTCCTCAAATAAGATGGTATTTTGCCTGTTTTATAGAAATCACCAATAGAGTGTTGCAATCCCTGACACTGATTTATGGTAGTCAAGTTTGGCTGCAGATCCTTCAAAAATAATAAAATCTGAAAAGGAGACTAGGTGTCTACAGTCTGCAAAGGCAGAATACAAAATAACATGTGGGCAAGCTGTACAACATTAAAAAAAAAAAAACCCTCTATGCTGAGTGATGGTGGTGGCTCACGCCTGTAATCCTAGCTACTTAGGAGAGTGAGATCTGAGGATTACAGTTTGAAGACTATTCGGGCAGGAAAGTCCATTAAGACTCTTATCTCCAATTATCCACCCCAAAAGCCAGAAGTGGAGCTGTGGCTCAAGTGGTAGAGCACTAGTCTTGAGCAAAACCCTCAGAGACAGTGTCTAGGACCAGAAAAAAAAATCTTGACTTGAATTCAAGTTCCAAAGACTTTGGAACAGAGTCTGATTATTAAGTGCTGAGACAATCCAAGTGTGTCAGTTAGAGAAGTCCAAGGAGTGAAAGAGGTGGGCAGGGAACTGGGGGCTGGAGATCTACATTGGGGAGACCCACAGGATCCCCTCAGTCCAGTCTGTTAGTTGTGACACCTAGAGCAAACTACTCACCTTCTGTGAGCCTCAGTTTCCTCTTAGGAAACATCCACCCTCCCAGCTGTTAGGTGCGATCTCTATGGCACCCTTCACATCTAAAGAGGGCATGCACCTAAGCTATGGTAGGCGATGAAGTTAATAGGCACCTTTCAGAACTGCCTGAAAGGTGCAGGTGTGTTCATCCATGTGGTGGTGAGATAAAGTGCTTTAAAACCACTATGACATCAGGTCATAATTACTATTTTGCTTTCAAAGAAACACCTGCTAAGGAATCCTAAGGCCAAACCCCAACTTCTCTGGGTTCCTGTTGTTACGAGGAGTCCTATGAGGATACCGAAGTCAAGTCAGGGAGCACCACAGCCCATGCCATGTCCACGGTCAGCCTATCTTTCTCAAGCCCTGCTTCCCCTGTACCCTCCAGTGTCATGATCTGCCTTTACTCTGGGAAAGAAAGGTGGGGGCAATGAATTGCTACAGGTTCACCATGGCTAATCCCATGCAATTGTCCCTTTGCCTCTTCTAGAAAACTGGGAAACGACTGTCTGGACCACTGGCTATCCCAGTGATGGATATGTGGGCAAGACCTCCCAGGCCAGATGACAGACAGCAATGGGAGGAGGCACTCTGCAGCTGTCTAAACTATGTAGGTGGCAGGCAGGGGCCACCGAAAATGGACCTGTGTTGGGGTAGGAAGAGAAGTTCCCTTCTCCAGACTTCCCAGGAAATAAAAAAGCAGAGGGGATAATTTCCAGAAAGAAACTATTAACAGTGTTTCCAACGGTGCTTCTCCCAAGTGAGGGAGAGTGCTAAGCCCTGTGCCAAGCAGTAAAGAAGAATGTAGAAGGCTGGGTGCAGAGGCTCACACCGTAATCTGAGCTACGCAGGAGGCTGAGATCTAAGGATCGAGGTTCAAAATCAGCCTGGGCAGGAAAGCCTATGATACACTTATCACCAGTTAGCCAGTAAAAAGCCAGAAGTTGGAGGTGTGGCTCAAGTGGTAGAGTTCCAGCCTTGAGCCAAAAAGCTAAGGGACAGCACCCAGGCTCTGAGTTAACAGGGTGTACTAGCACACGTACACACATGCAGAGACACATACACACACACACACAACATAAAAACACATGAAGAAGCACATAGGCTGCCCTGTGCAGATGTGGAGGAACCCTAGTACCCCATCTGGAGTCCCTGGAAGGTTACATATAGACCCCACTGCAGAGGTGTGACATAGGGAATACATTCCTGGCTGTGGCAAGAGGCAGGAGGGGGAGAGTCACTGGAGTGAAGGACAGAATGAAGACTGTTCACAGACCTCCCACATCATGTCCCCAGGGCCTTCCTCCCTCGGTGAGGCTGACTTCACATGTAATGAGGTGATGGGGCAACTGTGATTGAAGGAGGGAGATTTTATGGACCTCCCCCAGCCCTGATTACCTGTTGAAAGGATCCTGAAGGAAGCATTCCTTCCAAACCATGGATGCCACAGCTCTGGACATCAAATATGAGTAGTATTTGGCACCGTAGCCCACAAGGTGACTGAACCGCAGCTGCCAGGCCTGCCGAACACAAAAAATATGACAACAGTTCCGTCTGTGGATTCTGGGAATATACAAGAGAGCACAATGTTAGCACCCAGAGAAACCTGCACATGTGTGGCCTTAATCTCACCCTATAAGGGCATGTCATGTTGATACTGACACTTTCACATTTTATATACGATCAACTGTGTCTCCTCCAAAATTAGGTGTTGAAGGCTTAAGTTAGTACCTCAGCATGTGGTTGTATTTAGAGTTGGGGCCCTTACAAAGGTGAGGTTACAATAAGCCTTGGATCCTCAGAACAGAGGGAGTCTGGACAGAGAGGCCCTGGGGACAGAGGAAAGGCCCGGGGAAATGGTGCTCTGTGGGCTCTGGCCTTCAGGACTGGGCACGCACTGAGTCTCATCCTGCCTCCCCAGCGGTGCCCCAGGTGGACCCGTCTCTGAAGGCAGCACCCAGCAATGCAGACACACCCAGGCCACCACTGAAGCATCGATGATGAGCAGCTGCCACCCTGAGCCGGTATAATCACATGGCTTGTGATCCTGGTTGGTTACACTGTCTGGCTGTAGCCCTAGGTGAGACACATGCTTGGTGGTGGTCTTGGGGGAATACATCTATATACTATTATTTTATGTCTCTGTCACAGTGACCAGGCCAACACCCTACCTACCATAAGATACTGTTCACTGCACAGCACCACAAAAACACAGATACCACCCCCAAGGGGTGAGGGTCCCAAAGGCTCACAAAAATCTAGGCCCTTTCTAGGAGTAGCTGAGCACCACAAACGCAGCCCCCAGTCTTCTGCTAAGAAAGCCCATGCAGCAGGGATTTTTGGTCTAATTTAAAGACAAGCAGTATTTAAAAGAAAGCATCTGTGATCAAATTTCAGTCTAGTAAAACTGGCATTTAATTATTTTTGCTAGTACTGGGTTTAAACTCAGTGCCTTGTGTTTGCAAGGCTGGTTAATTCTATTACTTGAACCACATTCCAGCCCCTTAATCTAGCAAGCTTTGACAAAGGTTTAGCCAAAGGGCTAGGTCTCTGGAATCCATGTACACTGTGACATGGTTCTGTATAATATATAATCTTACTATTTTTTTTTTTTTTTTTGTCGGTCGTGGGGCTTGAACTCTGGGCCTGGGCGCTGTCCCTCAGCTCTTCAGCTCAAGGCGAGCGCTCTACCACTTGAGCTACAGTGCCACTTCCGGTTTTCCGGTGGTTTATTGGAGATAGGAGTCTCACGGTCTCTCCTGCCCGGGCTGGCTTTGAGCCGCGATCCTCAGATCTCAGCCTCCTGAGTAGCTAGGATTACAGGCGTGAGCCATCAGCGCCGGCATAATCTTATTTTTAAAAGGGAGGTTTATGCTAGTTGTCGACAGCTCACACATGTAATCCTGCAACTCAGGAGGCTGAGATCTGAGGACTATAGTTCAAAATCAGCCCAAGCAGACTGTGAGTGAAACTGTTATCTCCAATAAACTACTGGAAAGGCAGAAATGGAGCTGTGGCACAAGTGGTAGAATTAGCCTTGAACAAAATGCTCAGAGAGAGCATCCAGGCTCTGAATTCAAGCCCCAGGACCATCACACATGAAAACACACACACACACACACACACACACACACACACACACACAAAGGAATCTTTACATTCTTCTGAAATGATCTACTCAATGATACGTAGAACTCTGGATTGCCGGTGACATTTGTCACCCATAGGAGTCTGGATATGATGTTTTCTTTAGAGCTGTATCAGTACAGACACCAACTCTTGCTACGGGTAAAGTAAGTGTTAGGTACTCTTGAGTCTGTGTGTGAATTTGAATCTACACATAGGTGCCCCGACCTCCAACCCAGTGCTCCATGCAGGAAGTCTTTGCCTAGCAACTGCACCTGTGTCATCTAGGTGACTGGCACACCTCCCCCTTCTCTGAGGTCACATCCTGGACCACCGTGGTCACATCTCCTTCAGATTGTGGGAGGTTCCCAGGCTCTGAGGTCACATCTACATCTCGCATGGCCACATCTGCTCCCTGTCCCTTCCCTACTTAATCTCAGCCAGCAAGATGTTCCCCCATTTCCAAGTGTGTCTCCAACCTGTGCTGGGGACGAGTGGCTCAGGCATAAACTTCTCTTTCCTGCCTGAAGATAATGTGGTAGTTTCTTTTCAGATACCCTAATTAAAATTTAACAATAAGCATATTGTAGAGGGGAGGCCCTAGAATTAACAGGACCCAGTCAACAGCCTTTGTTCTGTAACCTTTTTTCCTGCCCATGTGCCAGGACTAGCTTGGCAGCCTTTGCAGCACAGAGTAGAGTTTAATTATTTAGATATGACTTGAAGTCAGTTTTATCTTGAAAGCAGACCTGCCTCAAGAATGGCCTGACTTGGGGCTGAGAAGGTGGTTCAGTGGTAAGAATGGCCTGACTTGAGTGAAGCAAGAAACATCTAGGGACGGGCGCCAGTGGCTCATGCCTGTAATCCTAGCTACTCAGGAAGCTGAGATCTGAGGATCGAGGTTCAAAGCCAGCCCGGGCAGGAAAGTCCCTGAGACTCTTATCTCCAATAAAACATTAGAAAACCGGAAGTGGCACCGTGGCTCAAGTGGTGAAGCCCTCGCCTTGAGCTGAAGAGCTGAGGGACAGCGCCCAAGCCCAGAGTTCAAGCCCCCATGACCGACAAAAAAAAAACAAAACAAACAAACAAAAATCTAGGTTCCTTAGTTTCCTCTACCCCAAAGTGAGTTGCCACATAAAGAGAGTAACTAAAAAGGACCTTTCAAAACTATAGAAAGAAACATCAAGGCTGGTAAGGAGATAATGGTATGGTATGGTATTGATAGCTCATGCCTGTAATCCTTCCTACTCAAGAGGCTGAGATCTGAGGATCACAGTTTGAAGCCAGTTTGGGCAGAAAAGTCTGTGAGACTCATGTCCAATGAGCCACCAAAAAGCTAGATGTAGAGCTGTGGCTCAAGTGGTAGAGCACCAGCATAGAGCCAAAAAACTAAAGCACTGTGCCCTAAGTTCAAGCCCCAGTACCAACACATACAGACACACATACAGACACATGCAGATTGTTGTGGAGCACCATCATCTGAAGTGGACCCTCTGCCTGGATTCAGGTGCTTTCATTGCAGCTTGCTCCTTAATTACAGGTTTGGATTTGTACTACACACCCTTCCCTTACCTCAAGAAATTATAGCTACCTAACACCTTTCATCAGAGGTTTGTAAGCTCATGGCTGACATAGACCTACAATTCCACTGTGGTTTGAACACAATTGCTGAACTACGGCTAATTCACCCTAATATTAAGCCTTGTTTCCATGTCATTCAACCATCTGAAAAAAATGAAAGACAGCTTTTCAGGTTATGCTCTGATATGTATTCTCTCTCTCTCTCTATCGCTCTCTCTGTCTCTCTTTCTCTCATCTCTCTCTTCTCTTTCTGTCTCCAGTACTGGAACTCAGAGCCTTGTTCTCTCTCTCTCTTAGCTCTGTTTGTTTAAGGCTGATACTCTACTACTTGAGCCATACCTCTACTTCTGGCTTTTGGGTGGTTAACTGGAGATAAGTCTTACTGAATTTTTTTTTTTTTTTTCGGTCCGGTCATGGGGCCTGAACTCTGGGCTTGGGCACTGTCCCTCAGCTCTTCAGCTCAAGACTAGTGCTCTACCACTTGAGCCACAGCGCCACTTCTGGCTTTTTTCTTTTTGCTTACGTGGTGCTGAGGGCCTCAAGCATGCAAGGCAACCGCTCTACCACTGAGCCACCTTCCCAGCCCTTTACTGAATTTTTTTCCAGGCTAGCTTCAGATTGGGATCCTCAGATCTCAGCCACCTGAGTAGTAAGGACTACAGGTATGAGCCACCGATATCCACTTCCTTTTAAACAGAAGTTTTCCTCTTCCTAAGAGATACCTGTCAGATGGACGAAAGCACTCACTCTCCTTTGATGTTTAACAAACATGTCTAGTTCCAAAAGCAAAAGACACAAACACCTTTACAGCCTTCCTTAGCTAATGGACATGTAGTTTTTGAATCTTCACACTATCTCAGGGCATGGCTATGTAATGTTTTCTTGTGTTTGGTAATGTTCCACCTGCAAGACAGAACATGGAGTTAAAGAAGCGACAGGCTGCAGGCTCTCTGGATACACTACATACCTTGACTTGGAGGACCCTTTAAGGATCCTTATTTACTGGTCCATCCTCTAACATCACAGCCTTCCAGGGACAGGAATGTAGCAATAGAGCAGTTTCTTTACCATTTCTTCCCTCATCGTCTGGACTAGGGCCTGGTGCACAGGGAGTGCCATCAACCTCGTGCTGAGCACTAATGAGGGGTGGACTTCTGACTAGCTGAGGGGCCCCAGAATCACATTCCATTGCAGACAAAGAGGCGGCTATGGTGTAAAACAAATTTGCAGCTTAGGCTATTAACAGCTTCCAAAAAAACAGTTCTGCCACTACTCAAGAGGGTGACATCAGAGGACTGAGGTTCAAAGCCAGCGGAGGCAGGAAAGTCCATGAGACTCATCTCTAATTAAACAGTAAAAAGTTCAGAAGCTGTGGCTCAAATGGTACAGCACCAGACTTGAATGAAAAAAGCTAAGGGATTACACCCAAACCCTGAGTTCAAACCCCAATCCCAGCATTCGTTGATTATGTGACTTTCTGAAACTACTTTTGGCACCTGACTGGCAAGGAAGACTTGAAGTATAGGCAACAGCTAGGCTGGACAGACACCTGACCCACAGAAACTGACATTTACTATGTCTGGAGTAATTTATTACCAATATAGAACTTTACTATCATGATTACTTTTAGATAAGAGTTGTGTTCGGAAGAAATCACCCACTAAGGGTGAAAAAGGGATATCTATATTTATTAAAGGTATACTTGATGTCTTCATGAAGTCTTCACAGGTGGTTTGGTTTGTTTAAAAAAATACTAACCTACTTATCAAAACAGTAACAAATAATGAAAAGTGCCGGGTGCAGGTGGCTCACG